GTAACCAACCGTCTTATTAAATAAGAAACACAGAGCCAATTCAGAGAAGAAAGCCAAGAGGTCAGAGCTAAGAGCCTCACCCTTCCTGCTTCAGCGACCCTCTTCAGCCAAGAGAGCTCTCCGAAAAGGGCCTACTTCCTGTGTGTCTGTCTTTAAAGTCTTCCTGTTCTGCCTTCTCATTGGTTGTAAACCCAAACATGTGACTGCCTCATCACTGCCTGAATGTACCGCCCTCCAGGTCCTTAAGGCGTGCGCCACCGCCGCCACGCACTTGCTATGACTCTAATAGCTCTGACCCCCAGACAACTTTATTTATTAACATACAATTAAAATCACATTTCAGTATAAGTAAAATACCACCACAGCAGAAACCACCAGAGTGCAGAGGGAGGCAATCGGAACTCCAGAACAGAGATTTAATGGAGAGATGGCTCAGTGGTTAAAAGCACTTGATGTTCTTCCAGAGGACACAGGTTTGATTTCTAGCACCCACATGGCCACTCAGTAACTCCAGTTCCAGTGGGTTCAACCCCCTCTTCTGGCTTCCAGGGGCACTGTGTGCACATGCAGGCAGAACACCCACACATAAAATAAAAATGAAAGAAAAGACTAGGCATAGTGGCACTGGCCTGGAATCCCAGCACTCAGGAAGCAGAGGAAGGCAGATCACTGTGAGTTCGCGGCCAGCCAAGTGAGCTCCAGGACAGTCAAGACTATATGTAGAGAGACCCTGTCTCAAGAAAAAAAAATTTTAATAACAAAGGTTTAAGTATGACTAACATATAAAATAATCAAACTAAAAAGCCTTCATAGGTTTTTGTCATTTGAAAAAGAAGCCTTGAGTAATGAAAAACTCAAATCTTACCAAGACTTTTGTAGGCCTGTCACCCACCAACTTCCTCATTAGAATTGCTTTCTTATCAGTGTTTAGGGTAACACACACTGACACAAAGTTAACTCACTTTGAACACACAATCTGTCTATTGTTGTATGGCGTTGTGCTTCCATGTTAGACTCAGAAACAACTCTCCTGATTCATTTCCATCTAGTTTCATTTTAATATCCTAAATTTCAATGAATATTTGTTAGCCTACCTTGTAAAGTAGCTATGGAACTTTCACCTCAAGTCTTTTTTGCTACAAAAATGTGGCAAATGTACAAAATGGAAGGAGTGTGTATATGTGTGTAATCACCCATGTATAATTGAAGAAATGAGTTACCTCAGTAATTTATTCCATAAGGAAAGTTCTGCCTTGAGGCTGGAGAGATGGCTCAAAGGTTAAGAGTGCTATTGCCTTGACCCTTGCCCTTCATTACCCCCACTCACGTCCAGGTTGTTCATGTAGATCTCTTCCATTTCTCTGTCATTGGGCGATCCCTGTGCCTTTCTTAGGGTCCTGTTTTCTAGGTAGCCTCCCTGGTGTTGTGAGTAGCAGTATAGTCATCTTTGTTTTACATCTAGTATCCTCCTATGAGTGAGTACATACCATGTTTGTCTTTCTGAGTCTGGGTTACCTCACTCAGGATGATTTTTTCTAGATCCATTCATTTGCCTGCAAACCTCATGACGTCATTGCTTTTCTCTGCTGAGTAGTATTTCATTGTGTATATGTACCACGTTTTATTTATTCATTCTTCAGTTGAAGGGCATCTAGGTTGTTTACAGGTTCTGGCTATTACAAACAATGTTGCTATGAACATAGCTGAGCAAGTGCCCTTGTGGTATGATTGAGCATTCCTTGGGTATATGCCCAAGAGTGGTATAGCTGGGTCTTGGGGGAGACTGATTCCCAAGTTTCTAAGAAAGCACCATATTGATTTCCAAAGTGGCTGTACAAGCTTGCATTCCCACCAGCAGTGGAGGAGAGTTCCCCTAGCTCCACATCCTCTCCAGCATAAGCTGTCTTCAGTGTTTTTGATCTTAGCCATTCTGACAGGTGTAAGGTGGTATCTCAGAATCATTTTGATTTGCATTTCCCTGATGATTAGGGATGTTGAGCAACTCCCTAAATATCTTTCAGCCATTTGAGCTTCCTCTGTTGAGAATTCTCTGTTTAGGGCAAGGGTTGAGGGAAAGAGAGCTTAGGGGAGTGGGAGATCCCAGCTGGATCAAGAACAGAGAGGGAGAACAAGGAATAAGAGACCATGATAAATGAAGACCACATGAGAATAGGAAGAAGCAAAGTGCTAGAGAGGTCCACAGAAATCCACAAAGATACCTCCACAATAGACTACTGGCAATGGTCCAGAGAAAGCCCGAACTGACCTACTCTGGTGATAGGATGCCCAACACCCTCATTGTCATGCTAGAAACCTCATCCAATGACTGAGGGAACCGGATGCAGAGATCCACAGCCAGGCCCCAGGTGGAGCTCCAGGAGTCCAATTGGCAAGAAAGAGGAGGGTTTTTATGAACGAGAATTGTTGAGACCAAGATTGGAAAAAGCACAGAGACAAATAGCCAAACGAATGGAAACATATGAACTATGAACCAATAGCTGAGGAGCCCCCAACTAGATCATGCCCCCTAGATAAGTGAGACAGTTGATTACCTTGATCTGTTTGGGAGGCATCCAGGCAGTGGGACCGGGACCTGTCCTCAGTGCATGAGCTGGCTGTTTGGAACCTGGGGCCTATGCAGGAACACTTGGCTCAGCCTGGGAGGAGGGGACTGGACCTGCCTGGACTGAATCTACCAAGTTGAACTCAATCCTCAGGGGATTCTTTGCCCTGGGGGAGATGGGAATGGGGGGTGGGCTGGGGGAAAGGTGGGGGGGGGAGGGGGGAGGACAAGGGAATCCATGGCTGATATGTAAAATTAAATTAAATTATAAAATAATTTTTTAAAAAAAAAGAGTGCTATTGCTTCTCCAGTGGACCCAAGTTTGGCTCCACGGACACATGTCAGCTGGATCACAACCATCTATAACTACAGTACCAGGCCATGCGGCCCACTCTTCTGTTCTCCATGGGAAGCTGCACACACATGGAACACAGAGAGAAATAAATATTCTCAAAATGAATGAGAAGACCTCATTTAAAAAGTAGTGTCTTCTTGAAAGAAACAAGGAAAAGTGTTAACCTTAACTTTATAAACAGCAAACAAGTACTTTTCAAAATCGAGGGATCTGTCAAGATTTTAACATCCTCACAAACACAAATGTGTCTTCTTCTAGTGACTCCTTTTAAGTGGTTAGGATATCATAAAAGACTACCAGAAATGGCACAGTTGAGTCAAATATCCACTGAACCTCTGACACACACAAGAGTCTGCACAGTGAGCAAGAATGTGCTCTGGCGGGTGTGAGCCTCAACTAGTACATCTACAGCATGGCCCCTATACCTATGGTTCAGGGATCATCTCAGAGGGTGAGGAGAAACTGAGTCAGAGGGCCCAGGTACTTACTTGCTGAGATAGTGCCTTACAGGAAACCTTCACCCATGAAACTTCAATAGGCAGCCTGAACAAGACAGCATAATGAAGCCAGGCATGGCAGTGCACACCTTTAATCTCCACACTAGGGAGACAGAGGCCGGCAGATCTGAGTCCAAGGCCAGCCTAGTGTACAGAGTAATATCCAGGACAGCCAGGGCTACACAGAGAAGTCCTGTCTTGAAATACCAAAAGGAAGAGGAGGAGGAGGAGCTGTATAATGACATGACAATAGAGTTAACATGACAATACAGAAGGGGAAATTTCACAGGGTCCCATCCTTAGATGAAAAGCTACAAACAGCCAATGGCTGCTCAGAGGTTTTCTACGGAGACGAGCCTCCTGATATGTTATCCAGGTTAATCACTTTCAACCGGTCAGCCCTAAACACAGGTACATAAAAACAACACTAAATGGACTTGGTAGGGAGTGTGTGTGTGTGTGTGTGTGTGTGTGTGTGTGTGTGTGTGTGTGCGCGCGCGCGCGCGCGCGCGCGCGCGCACGTTCTCTGATAAAGAAGAGGTCACAAATTTAAGAGGGTGTAGAACACATGGGAGAATTTGGAGTCGGGAAAGGGAGTAGGAAATTATGTAAATATTGTACTCGTATGAAATTACAAAATATTTTTTTAAAAAAATGAGCTGTGGGGTCAAGTGACTTTGATTTGAATACCAAATCTCTTATTCTTAAGCTGTGTGCTTTGGACAGGTTTTTAAACCTCTGTATGACTCAATTTTCTTGTCTGAAAAATGGATATAATAGAAATGCACAATGTTTAAGTATGGTGGTGTGTGTGTGCATGTGTGTGTGTGTGTGTGTGTGTGTGTGTGTGTGTGTGTGTAGGTATACATGTTTATTGTTTTTTGTTGGGATATTTCCTAGCATAAAACATGAAATCTGTATTCAAAATACTATAAATACATATATACATGTATAAGTCTTGAATTTTAATAAATTCAGTCACTTCAAACTATCTCTGTATATTCACATAGAGATCTTTAGTTCCTGACTTCCCTGAATTCACAAGTGAAAACTCATTAAATACTATATTAAATACTTAAACTGAAGCTGTCAAAAACATGGTTCTAGCCAGGTTAATCCCAGCACTTGGGAGGCAGAGGCAGGTGGATCTCTGTGAGTTCGAGGCCAGCCTGGACTACAGAGTGAGTTCCAGGAAAGGCGCCAAAGCTACACAGAGAAACTCTGTCTCGAAAAACAAAACAATAAAAATAAAAAATAAAAATAAAAATAAAAAAAGCATGGTTCTCAATACCATGTTAGTGATTTATGATGTTGAAATGTTGAGGCCATACAAAGTGCTTCCCTGGGAGTCTTGACCAAACATAAGCATGTCCAGATCTAGGGAAAGGACTTGAAACCAAATAATTCTATCATTTGCATCTCCATATTTACAATTAAGAATTCTTGAATAAACAAATTGAGTGTGTTTGGGAATCGTATATGAGCTTCTTCCTCCTATGACATAAATCATAGGAGCTGACAAAGACCTGCTTGTTGAATGTCAGGGACACATTTTCCTCCAGGCTCCAAAGAGGAACCACCCAGGATGGCTCAATCCAGCAACTACTGGGAACACAATGTGCTACCATTTGCCATCTTAATTTTGACAGTTGTAGCCACGCAGTGCATCATTGGTATCATTGCAAATGGGATCATCATGGCTGTGAATGTGGTCTCTTGGGTTCAGAAAAAGGCAATTTCCATAAATACTAGGATTCTGCTTCTCCTGAGTACATCCAGAATAGGCTTCCAAACCATCATCTTGGTAGAAACAACCTTCTCCACATTCAAAGTTTTTTTTTACAACAGTGTTTCCTATAGTATCTTCAGAGTAAGTTTCATTTTCTTTAATTATTGTGGCCTCTGGTTCGCTGCTTTGCTTAGCTTCTTCCACTTTGTGAAGATTGCCAATTTTTCTTACCCCCTATTCCTCAAGCTAAAATGGAGAATTTCTGAATTAATGCCCTGGCTTCTGTGGCTCTCGGTGTTTATTTCATTCAGCTCCAGCATGTTCTTCTGCAAGGACACCTACATTGTGTATAACAACAATTCTATAAGTTTCAACATCTCCAACTTCACAATAAAAAGGTACTTCGTTGAGATCAATGTGGTCAGTGTTGCTTTTTTATTCAGTTTGGGAATCCTCCCTCCTCTGATCATGGACGTTGCAGCAGCCACTCTGCTGATTTTCTCTCTCAGGAAACACACCCTGCACATGAGAAACTGTGTCACTGGCTCCAGAGACCTCAGCACAGAGTCTCACATGCGGGCCATCAAAGAAACCAGCTGCTTTCTCTTACTCTACATTTCAAATGCAGCTGCTCTGTTTGTGTACTTGTCCAACATAGTCAATGCCAGTTTTTTCTGGAGTATTTTGCTTAGAATCATCCTGCCTTCCTACCCAGCTGGCCACTCAGTTTTACTGATTCAGAACAACCCTGGATTAAGAAGAGCCTGGAAGCGGCTTCAGTCCCAAATGCACCTGTACTTACAAAGTAGATGATGATATTAGCTTCAAAGGAGGACCACACAACATGGACAACCAGCCCCTCATTGCCCTTACCTAGATCTCTCCTCCCTCTCCAGCTTTCTTCATCAAATCCAACCTGATTCCCTTCACCAGATGCAAAGTCTCTGCATAGGATTGAACATCGTTACTCTCTAATGTTTTGTGGGCACAATCTTGGTGATGTTTAACATATTCTTGTCCTTAGCCCTCTACATCTACCCTCGCCCACTGTCTCTATCTGAGACAGTGGCTCTTGACACCTCCTTCACATTGGAATCCCTGGGACTAACTTGAAACCACCAGCTAACTCAGCTTTGCATTGATTATTTGCAACAATCAAGTAAGAATTCCTGATGTTCTAACTTAGAAGCTTTTCTGAGTACTCTAGGTGATTCTGATGTGCAGAGTTGATACAGACACCAAAGCAGAAACTTCTAAAACTTGAGTTCCTGATCACTCCTCTCTTACCTTCTTCATGTACCTTTCAACCATGGGGGACTTTTCTAAGCAACATCTGGAAATGCATTTGTGTCCACCCCCCAAAGATACAAGCTAAATAATTCAGAAAGAGCTCTCAAAGCTGATAATGCAAAAAGCATCCCTCAAACTAAAAACTATCTAACTTTTTTTTCTAGATATGTGGTTTTATGAATTTGTGGAAAATCGAAGTACATACAAGAAGAATCCCACTGTGGTATTGCTTAGTAAGAAAACCTGCATATCCAAACTACAATATTCAAATTTTGTATTTATTTATCATCTATGGGTGCGTGCATATACACACGCCCTGACATGCATGTGGAAGTCAAAGGACAGCTTACAGGACTCAGTTCTCTCCTTCTACCGAGTGGACTCTGGGAATCAAACTCAAGTCATCAGGCCAAGCAGCAGGTGGCAAGCCATCTCAACAGTCCTATGTTTATATTTTTTAAAGAAGATACCTGCATGTGATTAAAGGATTTTTTTTTTCGGTTTTTTGAGACAGGGTTTCTCTGTGTAGCTTTTCGCCTTTCCTGGGACTCACTTGGTAGCCCAGGCTGGCCTCGAACTCACAGAGATCCGCCTGGCTCTGCCTCCCGAGTGCTGGGATTAAAGGCGTGCGCCACCACCGCCCGGCTAAAGGATTTTTATTATGTTCTTAAGTACAAAAAAATGAGGCTTTTGTTACTCCGGTTGTATTTCTGCTTTCACAGAAAACATATTTAGAGTATATTTATATTTCTATGTAAAACTCTGGAACAGTGTGGCAAAGTTATTAGCAGATGACTTCTTTCAGAGGGAGTATCTGGGGTACATGAAACCTTTATACTCTGCTTTATGCCTTTCTGTCATTGTTTGACCTTCAGTCCATTTTAGAAACCAGGACAGCAAAGATGTTTTTCGTGTCTATTCAGAAATTTGTGTAAGATATGCAGCGGTGCTTCTCCAAGAGCTCTCAATGTGCTAGCTTAAATTATGTGATTCGTGTTTCTCAAGTAGACTACATGTGCTGTTAAACCCCAATGTCAAAGTCCTTTCTGTGAGGCAATAGCAGAATTCGACTATCTGTGAGATGTATAATGAACAGAAACATTTGACTTAGGGTCTCCAGCCTGGGAAGTTCAGAGAGATGTTGTGACATTACCGCTGTGCGTTGTCACACTCATCTTTTTACATAGGTCCTCAAGTCCTCAGGCTTACACACATGCTCCTTACAACCGAGCCCGAACCCCAGCCTCCTGCTGCAGCTGGGATGTCATTTTCAACATGTTAAGTTTGGGGTCCACAGTCAAAACAGTACCCAGTAACATATTTCTCACTAACCTGTCTGTGAAGTCTCGAGTTTGCCAGTCAATATACATGTGACCCTCTACTTTGAAGTTGTAAAATTAATTTCTACTTTCCACTTTTAATGCAGTACTCTGGACCATGGACACTGGTAAGACCCAGTTTACAGTGGCTCTGATAACGGTTCTTCAGTTTTCTGAGGGTTTTTTGGGATGTGGAAAGGATTTTGAGCTTACAATACTTTTGCCTTATGATGAACTTATCAGGATGTAGCCTCAATGCATGTAGAGAAGCATTGCCATCAGTCTTGCTACCAAACATTCCTTTTTTGTTTCTATTTTAATTCTTTAATAGTTTTATACATGTACATTATGAATTATACTTGTTCTCACCCCATTAACCTCTCATAGTCTCCCTCTTCACTCGTTGCAACACTTCTTCCCAATAAGCCCACCGTCCTTCTTTTATGTCTTGTGAGTGTGACCTACTGAGTTTCATTAGAGTTGCATGTATAAATGGTCATGTGATCAAATGCCTTCTCAACTCTCCTGTGTATACCTGTGGATCAATGCTGTTCCCAGTCTTTCCAGGGAAGCTTCTTGCTGCATTGAGTGGCACTGAATGCAGAAGAGTCACTCTCTTTGATCTTTCTGATCTCCCACTTCCATAAGCTTGCTTTTGTAAATTGGCTTAATGCTGTGGATATCGATCGCTTTGTATGCTGTGAATGTGTTGCTCTGATTTGGTTGATAAATAAAACGCTGATTGCCCAATAGCCAGGCAGAATGTATAGAATAGGCAGGATAAGCAGAGAGGAGAATTCTGGGAAGTGGAAGGCTGAGTCAGGAGATGCTGCCAGCCACCACCGCCATGAGAAGTAAGATGTAAAGTACTGGTAAGCCACAAGCCATGTGGCAACTTATAGAGTAATAGAAATGGGTTAATTTAGGATATAAGAACTAGATATCAAGAAGCCTGCCATGGCCATACAGTTTGTAAGTAATGCAAGAGTCTGTATGTTTATTTGGGTCTGAGCAGCTGCAGGCCCGGGTGGGACTGGAGAAAACTCCAGCTACAGCTTAAGTTTGCTTTGGGGGATTGTTTTGTTTTGTTTTCCTGTATTTTCAAACTTGAGGTAAAAGTTTTTCATACTGAAGAGTGTGCACTTCAGTTCATAACTAGAAAAAGTCAATTTATGGGTGCTTGCATGTACATCTAAAATGCTGAGGAATATACCTCTGGTTGAGACCTTTGTCTTCTAGATACTAAATGTGATGTTTCTAATTCATTTTTACCATTAGTAAGAGTCTTAGAAATCTGTCTCTTTTGTTTCTATAAATATAATAAAATTATATCCTCATACATCAGCTGGTTATTAGCTAAAAGAAATCCTTTACTTGGTCCTAAAATAAAGCTGGTGCTGCATTTAGATAGCCATGTTGAGATGAGTATAAGGAGAAACTGGATTGGATGCTAAAGAAATTGAATAATAAAAATACAACAACAAGCCGGGCGGTGGTGGCGCACGCCTTTAATCCCAGCACTCGGGAGGCAGAGCCAGGTGGATCTCTGTGAGTTCGAGGCCAGTCTGGGCTACCAAGTGAGTCCCAGGAAAGGCGCAAAGCTACACAGAGAAACCCTGTCTCAAAAAAAAAAAAAAAAAAAAAAAAAACAAAAAAAAATACAACAACAAAATAACAATAAAAGTGAAGAGTATAGTGTTTACAGGAAAATAATTAGTAGGAATATTGACAAAGTAGTTCAAGCCAAAAGTCTTGCTAACTTTAGCAAATGCTAATTGTCATTCTCAAATTTAGTTCCCTTAACTATAAAACTAAAGGGTTAATAATAAAGGTTTCATAGGAAGTTTATAACAAAAACTGAGATAATGTGTGCATGGTAAGTGATTGACATGAGGTAGCCATTTTTGGTGTTATGTATCAGGAGCAGCAAATGATGCTGAGTCACCAATCTCCAGACCTCGACCCAAGACAAATTCAGCAGACAAAAAAATACCCCACTGTCTATTTCTATCTGCAAAGAGTTATGTGAAATAAAGACACTGCTGCTTTTTCTTTTCAGGGTAATGCCATGACTCTTCCTACAAACTTCATTTTATGAACTTCAGTGTTTCTGGGCTTCTAAAAGGAGATAAACACAGAACAAACAAAAGACAAGAGCAACCCTGGGACTCTTCAGTAAGCGTAGATGCTTCATGGCTTGGAATGGAAAATACCGCAGGAAGCAGGTCATTCTTTAAGGAAAAACATGAAGTTTCCACTCCATCTCCTGAACCAATTCTAGGATAATTCGTAAACACAAGCTTCACCAAACAGGGAATCCCTGGGCTGTGTCAGCCCATGTTCCTGACAGGCATCAACAAGTTGTGAGACTTTTTTGTTGACTCTTTTGTGGACTTCCAGGAAGGAAGTGAGCTTTCCAAACGGATGTTAAATAAACACTGTTGTTGGTCATTTGATCCCCACTGAAGGTTTCGTGGTTTAAAGTAATAAAGAATTTGGTATTCAAAATGATGGCACACTTCCTCATATCTTAACAAAACAGACTTTGAATAATATGCTGGATGCTGAGAAAATGTGCAGACATTCTTTACAAAACCCTTTCTGAGGGCATCATTCTCAGGCAGACATCAGCATCATGTATCACAGCCTGGGGAGCTGGACACAGAGCAGCAAAGCCAGCAGGAGATGCCTGAGAGTTGTCATATCCCAATCCTGGATCAAAGCCGGCTGACTCCAAGATAAGAATCAAATACATTTTCATAGTTTCAGTACACAGAATTTCCAACTCTTTGGTTAAGTTTATTCCTAAGTATTTTATTACTTTTGATCCATCTGTAGTTAGGTCTATTTTTTAATTTCTTTTTCAAGTAGTTTATTGTTGGTGTAAACAGATGCTACTGAATTTTGTATGTTGAACTTGCTTATTAGTTCTAACACATCTCATGACACCTTTAGGGTTCCATCCATGTCATTCACAAGTGGAGATAATTTTGCTTCACCTCTTCCATGGATAACTCCCCTTCTCCACTTTTGTTGTGGGTTTGCTTACATTTGTTTAAAGATATTTTCTGATTTCTCTTTTTATTTCTTCTTTGGAACACTGATGACATAATTTTAAAAATAATTTAAAAAATACACAAACAATGAAAAAGATACCTGTGCTCTTGGACTGAAAGAATTAATTTTGTCCAAATGCCCACATTA